GGAGGAAGTGTCTGGAGAGAGGGAAGTCTGGGCATCTCTGCTTAGACTGCTGCCCCCGCGACCCGGTCCCGGATAAGCGGAAGAAAATGGATGGATGCTTCAGGCCTAATTTTTTTTTTTTTGCAGTATTTTGGGAAAATATTTCAGGCAGAAAATGAACTAAAATTAATTTGCTAGCGCTGTTCCGGTGATAGTCATGTTTGCGCATGTTTTCTCTGATCATTTTGCAGACTTTAGGCACCTTTTTCAGAATGTTCGAGAGAAGAAACTTGAATTCAATTTTTGTAGTCATGTTTTATTGACATGTCAGGCAATTATCATTGCATACCTGCAGTTCAGTTTTTGTTCATTCAGCATCAACAGCGCTAAAATACAGTAAAGCCATGTTGTGTCATGAGTATGTGGTTTAATTGATCGAAAAGCTAGACTATCTTTGTTATATTATTTAATTCTAAGCCCACAAGAATGAGATCAAATCTGTCACCAATATCCCTGATGTCGAAACATTTTTCGTTCTCCAAGCATTGTGAGAGTGCACAGCCTTTTAAAGAGCAACTGTCAGAGAAAGCGATGCCCACAGTCCAGTGAAAAGAAGCATAGAACAGTTTTTGATGGGCTGCTGTACCTTTGGTTTTCTGACAGCTTTGATTGCACTTTAGCGATTTGGATTTTTTTTGGAGGTAGCTAAATAGTTTGTCTCGCCCCCATTACATATTTTATTTAAATCGTGTTGGCAGACTGAACCTGAAGTAGCCTTAAAGATGGCGGTGACTCAATGTGCTTAAACACTGGTTTTATTTCATCAGTAGAGCAAAAAAAAGTAAATTATTTTAGATTGGTTCCTCACCAAAAGCCCAAGTAGGAGCCCCTGTTCTGCCTCCACGCTTCAGCTCAGACGGACCCAAAACCGAGCCTGAAATGAGAAAGAAATGAAGCCAAGTTTAGGTTATACATTATTTGTCTAAACAAGATTAGAAAGTTCTCATTATGCCACATTAAATGTTCTTCGAGTCCCATTTGTTCAATTCCACAATATCCGCTTGTTGTTGAATTAATGAAAATTTATTTGCATGAACAGTATGAAATCAAAAAAGCGATGTCATTAACCAGATGATGAATTCTCCTAAACTGTTCCCTGTCTACAATGAAACACTGGTCAAGATTGTCAAGGAGACTGGATTTTTACCATCACAAATACAAGTTTATAAAGAATGAATAAATGATTTAAGGATATAATTGTTAATTTGATGTTTTATTTTTTCCTTAATGTTCAAACATTGTAGGAAACATGACGAGATGCTATGGTTATCAATTCAGTGAGTGATTGCAGCCAAAGAAAATGATTTTATTAGCTGATTTTACTTTTTGTGTATCATTTAAACTATGATCAAATTACCTTGATTGACTAATTTATTGGAAAGACAGAAGTGGATTCTTATATACTGGATAATTATAAAGTTGTCATACTGTTTTCAAGAGGTTATGAGGCAGAGTAATGACCTTGTTTTTCCCTAAAGTGTTACAAAGTCTCCCTGAAGCCTTTGTTAACATAAATATCCACTTATCATATCAACCCCCTCCTTCCTCCAGGGTCTGAACACCGATGAGGACTGGAAGCTTTCGACCATTCTCATAGGAATGAATGACATGCTTATGAAATGCTTATGAATGAGGCAAAGTAAAAGGAAAGCGCACAAGACATAGTTGGATTGGTTCATTGAGTCCCCATGTTCTTCATGTTGTGTTTTAGGTTCCTCATATGATTACCAGTGTGGTTCAGATCCTTCCCATGCAGACTCTTAAGGGAGGTCCAGAAGCCAACCCCAAGGGCCAGCTCCAGTGGTGAGCCACTCTTTATTGAACATGTACATATCATATTTGAGGCTACCCCGCATTAACACAGACTAGGCAAGCTTGACTTGATTGAAGCTATGTTTGTGCAGAGTATAAATGTGCCTTAATGTGCTTAAATTATGTTCATGGGGATAGCCCTTGCTTCCTGAGGGGATGTATAAAGGCAGCCAAGGGGCACTTCAGTTCAACAACCTACGTCTCATTCTCACTGGACATTATAACAGGGCAACAGGGTTATCAGCAGGGCAGGTGACCCCGCTAATAACCCTTCCCTGTTAGTTTCTCTTCCCCTATCAAAAGAAGGGGAACTATTAATATGATAGCCATGTGGGAGATGAGCACAGTGCTCTATGAAAATCTCTAAGCCTGAGGCATGTGGTGAATAACAACTATAGATATGTCAGTGAGGAAAGGAGGGCAGACTGAATAGATAGACACCAAGTGCATGCTGGGAGAGCTGTGTGACGGAGCGATCTTCACACACAAATATAAACCTACAATAGGTAATGATGCAGGTTCATGCACATACAAGAAGTGAAAGGAAGAAACGGAGATTAGGTAACAGAACATAAAAAAAATTAACTAAAGTGCAAAGATAAGCAATGATGCCATGATAAACAAATGGATACCATGGTAATCTACTGTATATACTGTCCCCATAAACAAAATAATGTACAATCCTTTCTCTGCTCCACCATGGTTATTTCAGGGCTCCTTTACATCTCTCATTGTTTGGGTTTTTTGTAGTTCTTTTCTATATTCTTCACTTGCCTTTTCAGTACGCACATCACATAAACGCAGAATACACATTCATCTAGTTTGTTTTCCCACCAGACACTTGGACAGAGCAGTCGAGGCTCGTCTGCCTCAGAGTTTCTGCACTGC